AGGCAAAAGAGATCTTAAAAGTGCCCGGCAATTTTAATTTACTGGCCGACCAATAAACAATTTTATCTAATCAAACACATACAAAATGGGAGAACGTCTGTTAGTGCAGTAAATTAGGTGTTGAAATGAAGGAATTATACAATTAAGCTTCAACAAAATACGTAGTAACTATTGTTATGTATTCGTCACCAGTAATTTCAAAAGAAATGAGCCCTAGATTTTGATGTTAAGAACTCACGAAAAATTAATTATCTCACATGATGCCTGTCTTTATTAATTTTTGTCATTATTATTATTTTTTAAATTTTATTTCGATACATGACTTAATTTCCCCCTCAATATCCCCTCCTCTTCTTCATAGTTTAAGTGCCATCGGAGCACGAAAGCCCTGGTAATCCTTAACTGGTGTAAGTCACTTTATCAACTCAAAGCGTTCTCAATCAGGAAATGATCCTTTCACGTTCTGTCACCTTTAGTGGACGCGGTTTAGAGAACTCCGCTTCTTATTGGTGTAAAGAACGACGGAAATGTTTGATTGCTCGAGAACTATTTGACGTTCTCGATATTGCCGCCGTGGTCGTTGCTAAAGCTCCCTGGAGACCCCTGTGCGAAGGTTGATGTCCTCCAGTCCTAAAGCCCACGTGGCTCTCAAATTATTTTCCAGGGTCTCTCTTCACTGCTGTCCTTAACAAGTTTTTGGCGAGGTTGCTTTGCTCTTACCCGGCGCGCGAGTTATTGTGGGAAAGATACATGGTCATGTCACCATCGACCCAGGTTCCTTTGAAGTCCAGTACAGTTGCAGCCGACTTGCGGTATTTTGAATCTGCGCTAACTCGGATCAAAATGATTTCCGGCTCTGGATTGTCACATATTCAACTCGAACTCTCAATAACTCAAAACTTCACGCTAACTCGAACCAAAATCGATTTTCCCTGGATTTCTGTCATACATATCCGCTCTACACTGCGTGCATCCTGGATATACTGGAAAACCGTGACCCACACAATTCGGTACAGAAGACGGAATATCTTCACTGCTGCCGAGCGACGTTGATAAACCAGATAAGTTCACTCACGGACCATTGCCTCCGGTCTACAAAAAAGCAGAGGAAACAAGCACGAAGAACCATCCTGACGTCCCTGTCTAAAGTCTACGAGAGGTTGATGTATGATCAGATCGTCCTGTACAGTGTCCTTCTTGTTGGATCTACCCTGGTTTCCACGAAACAACTAATGCTATTCTCCTCTTTTTAGCTCTCGAAGTGGCTGGAGACGCAGACTGGACCAGAAAGAGGTTGTAGCGGCTGTCTCTGTAGACCACAGCAAGACATGCATTCGCTTCCATCAATCGCCATCTCCTCCTGGTCAAGCTTCGTGCCCCTCGTCTGAAATCAGGCTAATGGAATCTTGAACGTCTTCAACGGGTCTTCTCGTCATTCCCTAAGGAAAAGCAGGAGCGCCTGGGAAAAGATATTTGTTCCTCAAGGATCTTTGCTTGGTCATTTACTCTTTATTAGTGACTTGAACTACTGTTTCCAATGTTCATTTCTTAGGCTGTGTGCAGATGACGAGACTGTGCACGCTTCGTTTGCCTCTCCAGTTGTTTTTGAGTTCGTCAATGGGAACTTGAGGTTTTCGTTTCAGTTGTAGAGAGAGGATTTCCTTCAGGAACTTTTTGAGAAAAGGCTGTGGGCGTTGGTCACAGTATGGCAGGAATTCAAATTCTTGTATAGAAGTTAGCCTGCGAAAACATCGTTTCTCCTCGCTCTTCGCAGTCGGGGACGTTTCGCGAGGAGGAACGTGACGTTCCTCCGCGCGAAACGTCCCCATCGGCGAAGAGCGAGGAGAAACGGATGTTTTCGCAGGCTATATAGAAGTCTGCTAAGGGATTACACCTGAAACTTTTTTCCCTTGGAAATGCACGATGTTTTAGATTCAAATTTGTCTAAGAAAAAAATCTGTATACGTCATTTATGGCCCGAATTTCAATTCTATCCTATCTTTCGAGAAAAGACAAGAGACAAACGTTTCCTAAACTTGAAATCCCAAGAAGACGATTATTATTTTTTAGTCACGACGCCAGTCCTCTGAAAGAAAGGGCTATAATTTAGGCCTGTAATGCTTTTACCGATATAGTTCAGTGACTATTGTAATCGGCAGGAATCATCTTGCCAAGGTTTAGCAAGCTAATAGGAAGTTTTTTGAGCGACACACGTCAGCCGGAAGTGACAACCTCGTCCCCAGAGCTTTTCCCTCAAAAAATGGGTGGGAAACGCTCTGGGGACGAGGTTGCCGGAAGTGCGCCTTTTTCCGTAGGATGCCTGTGGCACTCCCACGGTAAAAATCCGGTTCGGTTGTACCCAACTTTGCAAAGCCAGCCAATAGGATTGCCTAAAATCTTTATCGATTAGCTCTTCTTCCAAGCCGACCAATCAGATTGTACAAAATCTGTATCGATTTTTAATCGATTTGCTTCCTCTGAAGAACGTTGAAATCAGAACGTTCCTTGCCAAATTTGTCGCGCTAGAGTTTTCCCACTCGTGCTTTAGGATGGCTTGTTGACCAGCGAAATCCTTCGGGATACTGACAAGTCACGAAAGGCG